AACAACAAAAAAAAAAAAAAAAAATTGAAGTAATACCGTTCAAGACCTTGAACAGCAGATGGGGGACCCGCATTATTGAATGCGCCCCATCCCATTTAACGCTCAAGGGCGTTTAAACGCTCAAATTAAACACTGCAATGCAAGTGCCCTTAGGCTTGGATAGAATTAATTTATTTCTAATCCAAAAATAGTTAGGTTCGGATTATATATAAATATGTTGATTATTTATAGTTGCGGTGGGCGCGGTCCGGGACGGTCCTGAATTTGACTTGTCTGGATATCGATCCCACTTTTATGAATCGGTCCATGAACGGTCCGGGATGAGGCACTGTCCCCACCCATGTAATACATGGGTGTTGTACTAGTTATATATTTATTCACAACTACAATATATTTATAATTAATTAATGAATCATGTATATACTTATAAAGGATTATATGTAATGACTAGTACGACACCCGTGTACAACAATAGTGCATGAAAAAAATAATTTGAACAAAATAAGTAAAAGAGTTTAGTATTGTAGAATATACAAAATAAAATGGAAGAAATCCCGTTAGATTAAGGTGTTAAAATTCCGTTACAAATTCAATTGAAGATTTTAGAGTGAAGAAATTTGTTACCATATATTCACAAAAAAAAACTAAAAACATTGTTAACTCAATTATCAAACAAAAGAACATAAAAAAGTTAATTATCAAATAAAACATTGTTAACTCAATTATAAAAAAAAAAAATTGCTAACTCGGCATTGATCCACTGTCAAATTAAAGAAAAAGAATACAAATTCAATTGAAGATTTTAGAATGTGCGGGAATTTGTTACCATCTATTCGCCAAACATTTGGGATGCATATCTATAGAGATGTATGAAGAAAGTTATTAGATTCACGGTAACGGAAAATTCTCATATCAAACATTTGTAAAACATAATTAGTCTACAATAATTTTGTAATATTATTATTAAAACAAAGATTAGAAAAATATAAATCATCTCAGCTATATGAGTCATGGTACATAATTTTGGATAAATCACCCAAAATTAGGCATTTAAAATTTTTAATATGGTGTTAGAATTTCGTTACAAATTCAATTGAAGATTTTGGAGTATAAAAAAATTTGTTATCATATATATATTCGCCAAACATTTGGAAACATTGTTAACTAAATTATCAAATAAAAAAATATATAAAAAAATTAATGTAGATATGATATTAGGTAACTCAATTATTAAACAAAAGAATATAAAAAAATTAAGTACTAAATAAAATATTATTAACTCAATTATTGGTACATCCCACGTTCAAATCCATTAAATGTACATTTGGTCACACCTACCTAGCAATAGCACTATTGGTGCATCAAACATGTGATTATTTATTTTTAGTATTGTATTAATTGTTTTAAATGGATAATTGGAACAGTATGTCTCCATCAACAAACAGTTTTATAAAATTTCTTATAAAAAAATAAATAAATTTACAACGTCACTAGAAATTACCAAAAAAAGACAAAAATAAATAAATATTGTAGCCTTTATTGCGCGCATTAACTTGTAACTAAGAACTCTTAAATTATTTTTAAAATCACTAATCAATGGTGAAAATGACGCGAGAATGACATGAAATGTAACTTCCCTCATAAATAAAATAGCGTAACAGCCACTTTAATTTCTGCAATGTGAAATTGATGGAACAAACTAAAGCATGCTTAAATAGCTTATAGTTTTGCATGTTCAGAAATATATTAAAATTTTTATCCCTACACATAAAGTACTGATTCATATTCTTTTCTCGCTCTATCGGAAACTGTAATGAAATCAAGAAATATGAAAGTTGAAGTGGTTTTTGTCTGTGTTGTCTTCCTTGTCATCACTTCGATTGGTTGGCACCTCTTCTCCAATTTCGATTATTTTAATTATCTTTAGATGACATTTCAATATTTTTATAGAGTTAATTAACAATACGATTTTTACTTATTTTTTCAATTATAAAATGAAATTAAATAAGTTATTGCTTTCGGTAGTCCCTTTCTCCTCCCTGACATGATTATGATTTAATATGGCATTAGCATATCGTGTTAACATTTGATTTCGATGAATCTCAATTTCATTATCTCTACATTAATGCCATTTTTTTTGTTTTCTTTTACAGGTGCAACTCGTAATGTAAGGAATGATGGAGATGTCACATATCAAGTTGAAAAAAACGGGTCGTTTGCCCAAAATCCAAGTGCAGCTCGAGCTCAACTGCATGATTACGATGATCCAATTTATAGCACACGTTGTCTACAGTATCCATGCGATATAGGTTTGGACTGTGAGCAATACGAATGTTTCGCTGACTGTCAAAATAATAGATGCACCACAGTCCAATAAAATTACCATTTTGACCGAAATCTATATATATAGCGATGTTATGCGTTTTAAATCGATCATTGAATAATAATACCTTTATGTACATTTTCATGAAGAACTTGTATATGTGGATTTGGAGTCAATAACAATACATTCACTAATTTGTTTTGAATCATACACATAATTAGTTGTTGTGAATGAGGCTGAATTTGAGCTAGTATTTCATTAATTACCTTGTTTAGTAGTTAGTACAGATAGAAATTCAAGTACAAACAATCAAAGAGTTTTCATGCATTTTGTATCAAATGCATTATCTAATGGGCTGGTACAGTTTCTTGGGAGATTATCAGTAGCTATGTACTGAAAATTGTTGCCGTCAAAATACCAATCTCGAACGGCATTTTCAACTGTCTGCAAGTAGAACAAAAATGTTGTTATATATATATATATAATTCAAATACTATATGACAGTTCAATTTGAAATCGTTACTTTATTTCCTAAGATGTTATTCACCACGCGTGAACATGTCCACCCATCCTTTGTCATGATATGTCCGTGGCGAAAGCAGTTATGTACAAACGCTCCTCTGAATGGCGAATAATTCAAATTTTGCAGTGTTTGTACAAAGGTGGTGTGAAATTCTGAAATATTTAAGTAGATGATAATATAAATGAATGCTGATCATCTTTTAAAAATTTGAACTTTAAGAAGATAATGAATGTTAAAAATTGCATATATACCCTGCAATTTCTCAATTTGAGTTGAGTTGCAGAATGATAGACTGAGGTGCACACAATTAAACCATTCATGTCTTCCACCACCTACATATGGTGTGTATTGAATTTGTATCTGCAATGAAAAAAATCCAATTGCAGGTGAATTAAGATTTAGTGTACCCAAAAGATATATATATATATATATATTTCGATATATGTTCGTCTCTATTCATTAATTATGACGACTAATAGCTTATTACCTGGAATAGATCAAACGAAGACTCCAGTAGAAATAGTGGAGTCTTAATATCTTCGACTAAGTATTCGGGAAACAGACACTGATGCAAATAAAACCAAAATGTAGTTCTTATCCAAACTCAAATTCTACCATTGCAATTTAAACAAGTCTTTGTTGAGATAAGTTAATATCTCTTACTAAATTAGGACTCATCCTCGACGTGCAAGTTTGAGGCAAAAGATTCGCTAGTCCCTGCATTCATGGGACAAATTCCATATGGAAATATAATTAACAACAAAATTTGTCCGAAATATATGTCATGTAATGATTCAAGATAGAGCAATACGTGTAATTGAACGACATCGCTGAAGTATTGTTCTCTATGCATCACCCCTGGTAGATTTGGTCTAAAAGAAGACAAGTAAACGAAAAAAGAATTACTAGAAACAAATTATATATATTTGAGCTGTTTGAGTTAGTAATATGAAGCTTACGCATGCAAGAAAAAACCGGAATCGGATAAACATTTGACTGTTTTGGCGTAAGGTACAAGAGAACGAAGGCCATCACAGTTGAGAATTGTGGCTAACCCGCCAGCTGAACCCCCTGAAAGTAAGATCTGCATAGTGTTTGAGCATTATTAATTGATTAATTATGTAATTAAATGAATATAAAAAAACTTTTTAAAAAAAGAAAAAAAAACTCGTACATTATCCGCATAAGCCATCCCTTTTGCCGCCAGCTCCTGGATTATAGCTTTAAATATTCTGGAGCCTCTGAAATGGAGATTGTTTTGCTGCAAAACAGAGCAAAATTAATTACATTTCTCTTTGGCTATATTATTTATTGAATACAATATATTAACAAGTTGTTAAATGTGTTAATTCTCGCTTGAATATAAATATATATTTTGAGATACTCACCGGATCAACCTCATCGACATTGCCAAAGAACGAGGAGCCATCGCAGTATAAAGCAGCAACCTTATTCCAATTGTAGAAATCTACAATATCCAAAAACCAACAACGGAATTAAAAAAATAAATAAATAAAAATTATTTCACCCATAATAAATTAATTAATTAGTTGATGTGATTTCAAATTAATTGTTACGTGATTGCATGAACTGATTTGATTTAACCTGGATTGAATGTGGCGTTGACGTCAAGTATCCCAGATAAGCTGTAACTATTCCTATAAGAACTCGAACTGCTTCCTCCGGAAGATTTAGCTCTTCTAGCACAATCTTCAATAGTAGTACACCATCCACCTTGCTGAAAAATATATTTACAGGATTTGGTTATGAATAATTATTTAAAGAGTCATGGAGAGCAAAATGAAAAATAAATAAATTAAAGAACAACCTCGAGATAAATGACCCAGTTATTTGCTCCAGGGCCTGAACCCTTATCCATGGCGTAACTGGGTGGACTCCCGTCCAAGCAAACTGTTGGAAAAACAAAAAACAAAGAAAATTAAAGATATATATAATAGTACAATGCTTATATTTTTGACAAAAGACTAAATGAATACATTAGCTTAATTTGTGTTTTTAGTAAAATTTAGTTATAAAAAAAAAAATGTGAAACTCGTCCATTGTACCTGCTCCGGTTGCTGTGGCCCCTTCGATGATGGTTATGTTAACCGTAGAGTCACTTTGGACTTTGAATAAGACAATTAACAAGACATACAATGTTAACCAAATGTGACCCATTTTTAGTACAAACTACAAAGTATTGAGTTGTAGAGAGAACCGTTTCTCACAATAATACAAAGTTATAAATTCGCTCTGTTTTTCTTTGTTTTGGTGCATCTTATTGAACCAATCTTTACTCCTTTATATAGACGTCATTTCTTGCCACGTGGCACAGCTAGGCCACCATGTAGTGGAATGGCATTGTTGATTTGTTTCGAGGGTAGCAGTGAGTTTGCCAAGAACGATGTCGTTTCATGCTCACTGATTGATTTAATATGATAGCGATTATTTTATTTGACTAATTATGATATTGTAAGAGGCTAAATTGATTTTACAACTGAGCCGTGTGAGTTTACATTTCATGTTCCAATTTCCTATTTCATTTTCTATTCCATTCAATTGAATGATTGATATGCAAATATGACATCTTATTTACACGTGCCAATCATCAAATGAAGTGAAACACAAAATGGAATAGTGAAACAGAAAATCTCATTCCAGACTATCTTGCTAATTTTGCAACACAATTAGGTTATGATATTATTAAATTTTCACTAATTGAATAATATTTTTTCACGGTCTAACTCAAAATCCAATTCAAATTTGGTAATTTTAATCAATATTATCAATATAATTATATAATAACAATCAATCATTCTCACAAATCACATCGACTTTAATTCATTCAATATAATTATATAATAACAATCAATCATTCTCACAAATTACATCAATTTTAACTCACTCACACCTTAAAAAAAAAAAACTTTAACTTACTCTCTATCTAACATAATTTTCACTCCATATCATAATTATTTATCTTATTTTTACATCACATCAATTTTAATAAACTTGTTCCATCACATCAATTTTACCCAATAACGTTTATTTAAAATTAACTCAGTTTGTTTCTAGAATTATTGGATAGTTTTACAAATAAATAAATAAATTACTTAAAATAATAAAAATTTGTAGCCAGCTGATAATTTTATTTCTTGATGCTAGTAGACATGGCCCTTCGTCAACTGTTCCGGGGCCGATTTCGAGCCGTGTTTTTAGAAACTCTGAACAGACTCTCGATCATATATACAGATCGATTCAATGAATCAGCGGTTCCGGTCTATTACCCGCAATGTGGGTAAGATTTTTACATTTTTTTTAACCGTTGAATCATCATCCGATTTGATGACTACAATTTATTCTTATTTATTTAATTGAACAAATTTCTCACTTCTACCCATCCATATATATATGGCAAAAAAAAAGCATATTAGTTTGCTCGTTTAAACTAAGCCGAGGATGGACGATATGGACATTGCACAGAGTTCATAAAAGCATTTGTTCATTGGAATTTTATGCCGAGGATGGACAATATGGACATTGCACAGAGTTCATAAAAGCATTTGTTCATTGGAATTAAGTTGACAATTGACGCGATGATGTGGACATTGCACACAGTTCACCTTCTTTACATGTATAAGTATAACTAGGAATCACTCGCACAACCGACCCATAATACCAAATCATTTGTGTTTGTTATTGATACTTCCAAAGTTTAAACAAAGCGATCCAGAACTACATAAGAAGACTATTGAAAAAGTACTTATGCTCGTAAACGCACGTAAAAACATTGATAAAATAAATTAATAATACGACAAAAAATCACCCACGTAGTACTGTTAAAACACGACTTTTAGTTTTCAAAATCAAAGATTGATCAAACATTATTTATGTGATGACCAATTTGTCGTAAAACAAGTCACGCGTATTAGTTTAAAAATTATTTGTTTTGCTTGTGCAATTAGTTTGACCACTAGGGGCTGCTAATTATCTCCATTTTCAGCATATGGACTCCCGGCCTATTTTGTAATGAATAATTTTTTTTTATGAGATATTTGACTAATTGTGTTAAAAATTTTATAATAACAGGTCATCATTGAGAAACAATGACTTACAAAAATTTCCTCTTAAATCGATACATTAAGATGTTCCACCAATTTTTTTTTTAGCTTTTTATAGTGGTGGATCCCACGCCTGCAGATATGGTCTAAAAAATATTTGCTCAAGACAGGTCAACTTTTTTCAATTCAAACGGGATGCTTGTTTTTTGTGAAGAATTGTATATCGAATCACATCCTGAAATTTCGCATAATCATCAGGCAAAAAGTAAAAAATCTAAGAGCAACTCTACTTTATGATGCAACTGATTTTCGATGTTGAGCGATAAATATACTCTAATTTACGTTACATTTTCGCATGATAATGTAAACGCGCTAATATAATATTGATTTGTTCACTGCACTTCAACTTTTTTTTAAATTTTATTTTTTCAAATTAAGTTTTATTTTTATTTATTATTTTGACAGAATATACACTATAAATGAATGTATTTTGTTAAACAAGTTAAAATTATGAATTTATAGTGTTTCTTAAATTTCGTTATATAATTATATATATTTTATGTATAATAAAATAATAAAATTTAGTGAACAAAATCAATTGGAGATAACATTAGAGTAAATAAACTAAAAAGGGGCCCAATATTGTACAAAACTTGAAATCCGAACCAGGGATACTCTTAGGCTAAGCTACTATAGTTAAATTACTTGTCTATCCAATTTCCTGCTGCCTACATTTTCCACCTCAAAATGAATGAAAAACGCTATAACCAAGGACATAAGTGTCCTAGAGATTTCCGACTTTTTGGTGGGCCACATGCAATATTTTATGAGGGATTACAAACGCATAGAGGGATGAGTCGGATGACCATATAGTCATAGGAGAAAGATAAAGGCCACCACGTGTAAGAAATCTAGCCTATAACTTCCCTTAATTAAGATGTAGAGGGATATGTGTATAAATATATTTACATGTATTAGCACAAATAGTTTCGAAAAAGTAATAATATTTAAATATAAAAAATATGGGATGACAAAACAAATCTGTTTTGTAAATTTTATTTTGAAAATAATAAAGAGATGAAATGACAAATATAATTTTATAAATAATATATATTGTATAATTTATATTATTTGTAAACTAACATAATAAAAATATTAATGCACTCTAAATTATATATTTTCCAAACTTAAACATATGATTTAAAAAAGTTATTATACTTCAATTTTGCCATAAGAATAATATTTAAAATTGTTATAATTCAACACAACCATGTACTTTTTATTAATTTAATATAAACTTCGTAAAATATTTTCCACTATTATTATTAGTTTATTTCATAGTTTTTAAACCCGGCCCGGTGATCGACCCGGGCAGGTCCTCGGGTCATCGGGTCACCGGGTCAATTGCTGAACTGGGTAATTAATTTTAAAATTTTTAAAATTATATATAGAGTATTTTTGTTATATAAATATACATAAAAGTAACAAAATTAAATGTTTTGTGTATAAAATTTGTATATTAAAGTGTTAATAATATGTATCTCGTGATAAATATTTACCATATAAACATATATAAATATTTTTATTTTTAAAAAACATAAAAAATTAAAAAAAAAATATAAAAAATATATATGGACCGGGTCAACCGGGTTGACCCGGTCGGGTCAATGCCCCGAGTCGGCCGGGTCTCTGCCGGGTCGGCCGGGTTTTGACCGGGTTTGACCGGGTCCTTGGTTGCCCGGTCCAAATACTCCACCCGGACCGATTCCAGCTCCGGGCCGACCGGGTCCTGGGTCGACCCGCCGGGCTGGTCCGGGTCTCAAAACACAGGTTTATTTTGCATATCATTATGATTATTTTAATTAAATATTTCTTATAAAATGAAAATTGTATTTAATTTATTTTAAGTTAGTTTATATTAAGTTACTTTGAGATATTTTATTATCATTTATTTATAAATAAACTATATTTCTTCCAGTTGTGTTTAAATTTTATATTTGTTTGGATTTAATACAAATAACTAAAAAAATAAAGAATTATATATTTATGCTATTTAAATCTCACAAAGTAGTAGATAAACCAAAAAAAAAAAAATGTTATAAAGTTTATGAGAATTAACATCTAAATTTTAATGAGACAAAGACGTGTGATGGGTAAAAAAGCTCTCCACACCTATAAAATGGGTGCCTCCTCTATTCAATTTCTATATTACTACACTCAAATCATTTGCTTTCTTCTGTTCTAATTTAATTCCTACACATCCCTTCAAATCATTTCCTTTTCACTTTTCATAATGGATTATCAAAGCTTGAGAGTTTTCTCGCTTTTGATTATATATATGCTGCTAAAAGTTGTTGGTGGTGCTCGCGTTAATATCACTCTCATACCAGGCGCTGTATCAGAAGGCGCGGGTAAAAAAAAGTGTTAATACCATTAAATCACTTACAAATACATAATAACGCATTTACGTACTTTACTATAATTACCCAAATTAACAAGGTACTTAAAACATTTAATTATTTTTTCAAACAGTTTGCTTGGATGGGAGTCCACCGGGCTACGCGATGGATCAGGGTTCGGGCTACGGATCCTACAACTGGCTTATTTATCTACAGGTTAGTTTTGTAGTTCTCATTTATATTTTATTTATTTATTTATTTATTCGTAAATTTATTTTTTTATTTTAAGGGAGGTGGATGGTGTGCCGCCACAGCCTCTTGCGCAGATAGAGCTAAATTTCCTTTGGGAAGCAGTTTGAAATGGAATACAACTATCTTTTTTGATGGCATTTTGGACCAAAACAGAACATTCAATCCAGGTTTAATATTAACTAATCATCAATGCTATAACATTGACCCTGTTTACAAGTTAATATTATTTTTTCATATATTTTGCAAAGAAATTAAAATAAATATAGATGATAGACGGTTTTGATTTTTCACATGAATTTCAGATTTCTATAATTGGAACAGAGTGCATGTTATGTATTGTGATGGCTCCTCATTCCTTGGAGACGTAGATGAAGTCGATCCAGTAAGCATACCGTATAATATATGTCTATATATATAATGAGATAATCAAAATAATTTGGATGATAATATGGCCAAATGAAGATATGTAACCAATTATACAATTTTGCAGGAAACCAATCTCTACTATAGGGGCTCGAGAGTCTTTAATGCTGTAATCAACGAGCTGCTGGCCAGAGGATTGAATTATGCCGATAATGTAAGGCAAAACTTGCAATATTGCATATATATAACACTCCATTTTTTTTTAAAAAAAAAAAAAAAAAAAAGAGTACTAAGAAATTTGAAAGGGACAAAAATATAAAAATTTTGTGACAAGATTTGGAAGTTGGAACTTTTTCTATAATTTTTGTATTTATTCCAAAGGACAAATCTAAGTGAGGTAATTTTGAAAAAAAAAATGATCAATTAAGCAGGTAATACTGACTGGCGGTTCAGCTGGTGGGTTAGCAACGATCTTACATTGTGATGGATTTCGTTCGCTCCTACCCAATGCTCAACGTGTTAAATGCATTTCAGATTCTGGCTTCTTTTTGCGCGCGTAAGCCTCATATGAACTCTTAAAACTATCTTTTAACAAATTAATTAAATAAGTTTATCTGATAAGAACTTTGTTACTAAGATTCTACTTTTTTTGGTATTATTTTTTATGCAGGACAAATCTACCAGGGGTCGATCAACGAGAAGATTTCTTCGGCCGAGTGGTAGAGTTACATGTATTGCCCTTGCCCTGATCTTAATTAATATCTACTGGAAACTCTGTTCCTCTGAATAATATGTTTGAATTTCTTATCTAAGTGCCAAAATATTATTCAGAAAAAGTATCGAAAATAATATGTGTATAAAGAAATTAGTAGGGGATCCTAATTGATAATATTTGAAATAAAGTGATTGTTATCCATGATTGGTAACATTTGTTTACAAACTTTTTTTTTTCAGGGACTTGCGAATTTTCTGCCTGCAACATGCACGTCTAGAATGAATCCTGATTTGGTGAGTGAGGAGTAACTTGTTTTAGATCCAAGATG